CAATAGTAAAAGGAGCTTTACCTCCATCTGAATCTACTTAATGTCCCATCATCAAATCCATCAGCTATTGAAGGAGTGCAACTGAACTAAACTAGTCATTATAGGTTTCTTCTTGTGATGTTGACATTCGAGTATTCTTTTGTCTTCTTATTAAAGTATGTATAGTTAAGTAAGGTTCTCCTATCTTGAATAATACAATAGGCCTATGCGGCGAGCTTTTCATCAAACTATTCATGATCAACCTTAAAATTGATATTCCTTTTTTTTTATCTTCTCCTAAATTATCATTTTGCACTAAATTCTGTTAGTATGGCTGACTTATTGAACTTGATATCCCTATTTTATTAAGAAATCAGATTTCTAGGCATTAGTATTCCAAAGCCTATATCCCTTCACTCAGTCTAAATACCTAAGAATTATGCACTTCCTAGTTTCAGGTTTAGATTACTCTCTTTAACATGAGTATAAGTAGGACAATCAAAGCCCTTAGAACTAAAGAATCAGCATGATGACCTGACCACACCTCTGAAGGAGTCCTCAACTCAATACTGGCATCTAGAGATCTATTCATCAAGTAGCTTTTATAATTTGTTTAAAAGTCTCTACTTAAATGAGCTTAGTATAAAATATATTTAGATGGTGTCTTATTCGTTCATGTTATCACCCCATTATACTAAGATATACTACTTAAAAGTCTTGTGCCTGGTAATTCTTTCATTCTAAAGTCCTTAAACTCACTGGAACAAAATTCAAAAGTATTGTCAATATTTAATCTTTTGATCTTCTTTCATGTCTACTCAATTTGAACCTTCCAATTTTTAAATATTTAAATACAGCTCTCATTTGTTTGAACATATAAATCCCATACCTTACTTGAGGAATAATCTGTGACGGTGTGCGTTTGATTTAATACTTATAGGGCCCTATATGTTATAATGAACGAAGTTCAAAGTACTTTTGATTTGATGAACTCTAATTCCCAAAGCACAACGCTTATAGAATTACATTCTATATATTTCGCCATCACTCAGAACAATAGACCCAATAATTCTAAAACTTGTACTCTTATTAATGATTTGATTGCCCAAAGTCACAATCCCCCCACTAGATCTATTACTACTAAAATTATATTCTATATATTCAATTTTAGATCTACTAAAACGAAAACCTTTAGACTCTAAGGTTGACCTCCATAGTTCAAGTTTACCTTCAACTTCCTGAATATTATTAGTAAAAACATACACTAGGTTACAACCTCTTGCAAATGTCTATTGAGAACATCCATGACTAAAACAAAAAGATAAGGGCTTAAGGCTGATCCTTGATGTAATCCAACTGAAATAGGAAAATACTTTGTCAAACCACCTTTTGTGTTTGAACACAAGTAACAGCTCCTGCATACATATCCTTTATGACTTGAATATAAAATTATTAATCATGTTCTTTTGTAGCACTCTCCATAACACTTCTCTTGAAACTTTATCATATGCTTTCTCTAAATCAATAAATAAATATCAGTAAATATCATATGTAGATCAATAGATTGAAAACTACTTCTGATCAAAATTGAATTAGGATATCCTCACTCAAATTATTCCCTTCCCGCTGCTGTACTCTAATCCTCACCTCTTAGAACAATAAATCAGTCATAAATAATTAATTTTCAAACTTTTGTGTGTTTCACTTTATTGTCTAATCTTATTTCCTTTACCGCTCTAATTCCTTGTGCTATTCAATAACTGCATTAGTGGGTTAACCATCCTGTCAATCCTCACAGAGGGAGGCTCGGCTTGAGCGCAATCGACACAGATCCTTCTTCCAGTAAAGGTAAGGAATTCAGATCTCTAAATAATCATTCTTTGAGAAAATCGAAAATTTTCATTTCAGATTTTTTAACTTTCAAGCCTTTTGGTTCTGGTCCAGGTCACCATGAAGAACTAATACCGTAATTCTCACCTTCAGCCCCTTTTAAATGGGGATTTTTTTATTTGATCGATAGAACTTGTGGTGTCTGTTTCCCTATGTTTTGATTCAAAATTAATATTTGATAACAACTAAGCAGAGAAATGAGTGATATGATAATATAATTGAAAATTTTCTCTTAAGCATCGCTAAGCCCAAAGAAGTTGGAAAACTTCAAATTAAACATTATTGATCTCTCTTCAATACTTGAAAAAATTTCTCTACAAGCATTTATTCATCTTGTTTGATATTTCCATATTTTTATTCATCTTGTTTGCTTCACTTAGCCAAGTATGAATGATATATGTAATAAACGAATTCATTTAATAAGTAAGATTTGTAGTCATGAAGTTGGGTAGGCTACCCACCGATGCTTAGTTCAGTTGGTGGGTGTGCTCGGGTGGGAACCCCCCATTCCGAGTTCGATTCCCTTGAGCGGCAGTCGCCCCTTCAGTGGGGGCCATCAAGCGCCGGCTGCAGGTTAAAAATTGGCGTGGGTGGCCCGGTAGGTCGGCCGGGGTTTACGGACCGCCAAGCGTCCTGGCGAAGTCAGGGTGGCAGCGGACGGTTCCTCTTCATCAAAAAAAAAAAAAAGTTGGGTAGGCTAAGATCAATGAAAATTTAAGAAGTTTTGTTGGCTTGGGAGAGAGCTAAATAATGAAGGACAGTGCTGCTTTTATTCCACCTTTGTTGTAAAAGAGTGATCAGTTCTAATTATCTCTCTTTCCTTGATGTGTATATATATGATGCCTTTCATTTTTTTGATCATGGAATCCCATATACCATATACAAGATGAAGCAACTTTTAACATGTCTTCTATTGGCTTTGTACAAGCAATTATATAGTCTACTTTTTTCCACCACAAAGCATCAAATATTTTCTCCTTCACAAATTTGACCTTGTAAAATTTCGTTTGGAATAATTTTCTTACTGTTTGTTATAGAAAAAAATATAAAATTTTAAAATTACTATAGAAAACAGCTTTTAAGCTAAAAATATTTCACAAGTATCACACATATTAGTATGTAATAAGAATTTTTTTTAACCCTCCTGAGAGTAGAGAGTGAGTTATTACGAGGCAGGAGAGGGTTAAATTCAATAACTTGACAACAACTTCCAAGATTTGATTGCTTTCTTAATTTTTATGTATGATTTATAAATTATAATGCTGTGTCCGCGCCGTACCCGTATCCTGTATTTTTAAGAATTAACGTGTCCCGTATCCATATCGTGTCGTATCCGTGTCGCCGTATCCGTATCGGTGCAACATAGCTAAACTCTCTCAACCTTCATTGAGCACAACCATTTTTAGAACTATACTACTTTTTAACGGTTGGAGCTGCCATAAATTCCATCTGACTTTAAAATGGATCAAGTTGTGATGTGTCCTTATATGTTGATGTTGCAGATGCAAGATCCACTTAGTTTAACCTAATGACAACAAGAACAACATCAACATCAAGCCTTTATCCCAATCATAAAATGAATCCTTTAATAAATTTGGTTTAACCTGATAAAAAGGGCAAAATTGTTATATGTAAATTAACATGTGTAAGCAATTATAAACAATGAATAATTAACTTAGTTATATCTAGTTAACATGCATTCTTCTTTAGATACTCCAACTCTCCCTCTTGAACCTGCAAGGCATCTCTCCCTACAACTTCTACTACCCTTCAATCCCTCATTCTAGAACCTCTGCTCCTTCTACTTCTAGTAGTTTTACCGCCTCATTCTCTAATTCCACACTCTAAGGCTACATTAAATTGTTCGTTGTGATGTGCTTTCTAGAATAATTGGATTTTGGAAGTATTCTGGTGATAACCAAATTCATGATTCCTTTTTCCGTTGATCCTTACTTGGAAGGGTGGAGATTATACCCATCTTTTTTCTTCTACTATTGCATGGAGCCCTATTTCTCATGCACATCATATGGGCATCATGCACTCCAGATTGTAAACTCTAGGTATGCTAATCTGGATTTTTTTTAAAAAAATATTTTTATAATTTTAAATATGTGCACGAGGCAAATAAATGTTCTGAATTAGGCAACAATTCCCTTAAGACCTTTGCCAATTATTTCTCCGTGTCAGACTTAAAAAGCTGATGCAATGGACATTCTACGCAATGCCTTGATTAGGTGCTCTATGAATCCTCCCCATGCCAAATATGATTCCAACTCAACACCATAAAATCCACTTACAATACATCATTAGTGCCATCTAGTGTTGTAGCAGATATTTACATCCCAAGATATTTTTTCTAATTTGAGATCTCTTAGATTTAGTTGTTCTTTTGAGCTCCAGCGGCGTCCAGAGATTTGAGAGAGATTGATCCTCCTCTAGAATAGAGGATCAATTGTATCTTGCTATTTTCCTTTACCCTTTCATCAAATTATACAAATCATCTACTGTTCTTGTGGTTTTGTGCGGATTTTTGTGGAGAACTCTCTCGCTGTTTTTAGGAAACACTTGATATCTACAAGTGTTTCCTACCACTTCCCCTTCCAAAATAATGACTGTTTAGATGGAAAAGGATGAAGCGGCATAAGCATGGAAATTAGAGATGATAGAGTGCAAAACTAGTACATTTGTGCAACACTAGTACCCTAAATTTTAAACTACCTATGCCCAAGGTAAAGCTTCTTAACTAACTGTTATGTTTAATATCAAATTTTCATATCATATATATACTCCATATTCAGTAGAGCATATAAGAAATCAAATAAGCATGGAGTCATAAGAAAGTTAAAGTTTTAATTAATGAAAATATATAAGATGTGAAACTGCTGTCCATACATTATGTTATTATTACGTCATCCAATTTTGTTTATTAAGAATGTATTTTAGATGTCTGAAAAATATCTACAAAGGATCCATGAAAGAATGAATCTAGAAAAAACATATAAATAATATGTGAATGATTTATCTATCTATTGTGTATACAATGGTTTCCATTTGATTCTAGAACATTGCACTGTACAGATTTCGTTGCTTCTTTAAAATATCTAAATTTATATTTTCATGTGAGTTTTCAGGTCTGGAAGTTAACTACCAAGATAAAAGCAAATGTCAATTGCTATTTGATGATTACAAAGAATGCAAGAAGAAGGAGGTTTAATACTCTTTTCCTTGACATTATTTAGAATATTCAATATTCTTCATCAATTCATATTGTTTACAATTTTTACTCTAAATCATATATTCATTTTGAAAGAAAAGACAAAATAGTCCCTAGACTATTTATGTAGGTCTTTTTTAGTCTCATATTATATAATGTATCTTATTTAATCCTTTGACTTTTCAAATTTTATCTATATTAGTCTCTTGAATCCTTAAATCTGATAAAAAATAATCCAATAGAGGAGTGTCAAAGGAATAAATTAAACACGTTAACTTGATGGGTCTAAATTGTCTCCACACAAATAGTTTAGAGATCATTTTGACAATTTTCTCCATTTATTTCTATTTTGTAGAAAGATTTTGTAAGGTTGAGTTCTTATATGTAGCATGTAATATTGATTTGCTTGCTACGCAAGACATTACAACATTTTACAATTTTTCTATTTAATGTAAGTTCATGGAAGTAATCAGATTAAAAGACATTTACTTAACTATTAGTAAAACTTTAAAAAAATTGTTGAGTAAATGTCTATCTTATGATCCTTAAATTGAACAACATAATAAAGAAATCCGAACTAAGAGATGGGTAGGCCTCAAAAAAGATGCACTTAATGATAGTTAGCTGAGCTGAATAGAATTGTCACTTGGGTGATTTAAGAGAGATTTTTTATTCAGAATCATCTTGAAAGATTTTTCTATTTTTAACTCCTTGAAAATTGTTAGGAGATCACATAAAGATAAAAAATTAGCTTGGATGCTCATAGGATTAAGAACAAAAGCACCTATTGATACAAAAATTATAAATTGAACTTGTTTGGAGGGAGATTCTCTTTATTTGATGAAGAAATCTGTCTTTATGATGTGGAAATTTGGTGGTTAGAGATTTTTAAAGGCAAGCACTACTTTACTTTCCAAACCAACTCTCATGATCAAATTGTTTTGGAATCTTGATCCACCTCCATCAACTTCGAAGCCCAATTATGGAAGGATCTTCTCCCCTAGGTCAAATTTCATTAGGTTCAGGACGAGGTGGCTTTCTTTAAGAAAGTTGAACATTTTTATGTGTGTTTGAGATGTTCTTTCTATGTTATGCTGTGGATGAGTATGCCATCGAGGTAGCAATTACAAATCCCTCCATGAATGATCTTAAAATATTATCCATTATACACTTTTGTATCGCTGACACACCATAGACTGAATGACATCATGGCCTATTCAATCAGTCCTTGTTTAATCTTGTATGAGGTTTAACATATCTCCTCTTCATGAACTTGGACCCGATGGCAGCCTAATTTCAGGTCCAATTTTGTAAAGTCATTAGTGTGCTTTTGCTGGTTTAGCAAGTTGTATACTATGGGAAGTGAGTACCAATTATGTATTGTGATGTCGTTGATTGCATGGTAATCTACACACATTCAACATTTACCATAATTCTTTGGTGCCATCACGATCAACCATTCTAATGGTTAGCTTCTTGACATTATGAATTCTTCCTCCGACAACTCAAGCACTTGCTTTTTAATCTCTTCCTATGTTGCACGGATACGCCTATTTACGAGGCATGCTGTATCGGACACGTGTCAGATACGGATACGCCTCCGATACGGCACGGATACGGCTTTGCCGTGTCCAATTAAAATATTATTTAAATTTGATCGGACACGCGTATCAGATACGCGTATTCTATTAAAAAAAAATAGAGCTGCAATTTTTCTTATTCATTTCGGCTATCCGCTCGATATCCCTATTCATTTATGCAGCTTAAACATTTCGGTGAGCTATGTTTTTCGTTTCCGCAAAAGTGTTCGTCTTCTTCGTTATAGTCGAAGGAGTGGCTCGACGACGCGAGCATAGAAGCTGACAAGAATACAAGATCATCCTTCGTCGACAAAGAGGCTCGACGACGCGAGCATTAAAGTCGACAGAATCCTTCGTCGACGGAGCGGCTTGACAACACGAACAGTGAAGGTGATGTGAGCATTGAAGGTTCATTTTCTTCGTTCTTCGTTTTCTTAAGCGTAGGCTCGATACCAGAACTCGGTATCGATTGGTACTCGGTAGCGCTCGGTACTCGGTATCGCTCGGTACTGCTCGGTACTGAGCGATACTAGAATTCAGTACTGCTCGGTACTCGGTACCGCTCGATACTGCTCGGTACTCGGTACCGACCGATACTAGAACTCTGTACCGCTCAGTACCGGAACTCGGTATTGCTCGGTACAGAGGGGTACCGAATGGTACCAAGCAGTGTCGAGAAGGTAGAGAAAACTTTAAAGCAACTCTTAAAAAGCAGATCGAACCCCGCCAAGGAGGCAGCGCCCCCTTGGACCCCCGGCATAGACGCAATATATCTATACTTTTAATTAAAAATTTTCATGTTTTAAATTCATGTGAATTAATTTTTGTCGTTCCTTAATAGGATAATGAGCTCTAGTGGTGTAGGAATTGGGTTTATTGATAGTCCATCAGAGACCAATATTGAAGATAACAAACCTCTGTGTGGTTATGTGACAAAAATAAGTAAAATGACAGAATAGGGTGGCAATATTGCATTCAAATGTAATTTTGGTAATGCTACATACAAAGGATCATATTATAGAGTGAAAGCTCATTTGTTGAAGATTAGTGATCATGAAATTAAAGTATGCCCGAATATAAGCTTATCACAAATGGCTGAATTACAAAAAAAAAATTAGTGAAGCTGAGCAAATGAGTAAAAAAGAGCTTCCAAAACATATTCATGGAGCTTCAGCACCTCTACTTCAAACAATCGCCATAAAATTGCTTGGCCAAGTTTCATCCTCATCTTATTGTGAAAGAAATTGGAGCACATACTCGTTCATCCAATCAATGAAGAGAAATAAAATTACTTCACAAAGGGCTGAAGATTTAGTTTATATGTATACAAACCTTCGACTTCTCTCAAGGAAAACTTCAACTTATATGGAAGGAGACAACTGGATGTGGGATGTTGCTGGAGATGGGTTTGAATCTCTTTAGGACATGGGAATATTAGAAATTGCTAATCTTTCACTTGATTAGCCTGAATTGGAAGCTATGATATTTATTAAAGATGATATAGAAATTCAAAGACAAACTATTGAAGAAGCTAAGCCTATCATTCCTTCTATTGAATAGTTGAAACTTTCATCTGCTGGACAATTTATGTTTTTATTTTTGTTGTTGTACTAAACATTTAAATATTTAATGCTTACTTTTATTTTGATATTATAAGATACAATGCTACAAATGATGTTGCTTTCATTTTTTTTGTCATTTCAATTATTATGCTTTGATTAATTTGTTATTTTTATGTATGATTTATATATTATAATTCCGTATCTGCGTCGTATCCGTATCCTATATTTTTAAGAATTGTCGTGTGCCGTATTCGTATCGTGTTGTATCCGTGTCGCCATATCCGTATCTGTGCAACATAAATCTCTTCATTATCTATCATTGAGTTTCTATACATCGCTATATTAGGCAGAGCTGAGTTCAAGAGAAGTTTGATCTTTTTCTCTATAAATCTTTATGTAGTCAATCCTCTTGGATCTCAAAAAGCTCTTGGTAGTCCTTTAATAGCGGTTGCAATTTTGGCTACTAGCTGTTGAGTGTTAGGGTCAATGCTTTCTCTATTTCTCCCTCTCATATTTTCATAGATTCGTCTTGGGCAAATTCCTTAACATTCTCATGAGGCTGCTTGCATTGGTTGAAGACCAAAACAATGCTGGCAGCCTGACACATATTTATCATCCTTTTAAAATTGCCAATAGGGGTGTAAAAAACGGATTGTAGGTCGGGTTCGGGTCGAACTCAATATTGACCCGCTATTGTTTGACACGACTCGAACCCGTACCCAATTTTGCAAACGGGTCAGAAATCCCAACCTGGACCCAACCCGCTAAAAATCTAGGTCAACCCGACCTGACACGGCTGACCCCTATGTGAGCAAGCACGGGTAGGGTGCAAGCCTGCGCAGGATGCAAGCATGAGTGCGGTTGTGCGGGCAAGGCAGGTGGGCTGCAGGAGAGGCAGGCGAGCGCGAGAGGGGCGAGGCAACCAGGCAGGTGAGCACCGATGTGGGCTAGGCAAGCGAGCGAGGCAGGCTGGTCACAGGCGAGGCAGGCAAGCTTGGGCTAGGCAGATGAGCTCGCGGGTGCAAGGCAACCAAGTAGGCGAGCGCGAGTGCGGGTTGGAGTCGCGGGGCGGGGTTCTGTGCTGTGCAGGATGGGAATGAGGCTCTTTTTGTCTTGTTTTCTGGTTATATAGAGACCTATATTGAAGATTTGCACTTTGGTATGATAGTAAGGTCTAGAGTGATGTTAGGTGGTTTTGTGTAAACAATAGTAAAAGGAGTTTTACCTCCATCTGAATCTACTTACTTAATGTCCCATCATCAAATCCATCAGCTATTGAAGGAGTGCAACTTAACTGACCTAGTCATTATAGGTTTCTCCTTGTGATGTTGACATTCGAGTATTCTTTTGTCTTCTTATTAAAGTATCTATAGTTAAGAAAGGTTCTCCTATCTTTAATAATACAATAGGCCTATGCGGCAAGCTTTTCATCAAACTTTTCATGATCAACCTTAAAATTGATATTCCTTTATTTTTTATCTTCTCCTAAATTATCATTTTGCACTAAATTCTGTTAGTATGGCTGGCTTATTGAACTTGATATACCTATTGATTAAGAAATCAGATTTCTAGGCATTAGTATTCCAAAACCTATATCCCTTCACTCAGTCAAAATACCTAAGAATTATGCACTTCCTAGTTTAAGATTTAGATTACTCTCTTTAACATGAGTATAAGTAGGACAATCAAAGCCCTTAGAACTAAAGAATCAGCATGATGACCTGACCACACCTCTGAAGGAGTCCTCAACTCAATATTGGCATCTAGAGATCTATTCATCAAGTAGCTTGCAATATTTATAATTTGTTTAAAGTCTCTACTTAAATGAGCTTAGTATAAAATATATTTAGATAGTGTCTTATTCATTCATGTTATCACCCCATTATACTAAGATATACTACTTAAAAGTCTTGTGCCTGGCAATTCTTTCATTCTAAAAGTCCGTAAACTCACAGGAACAAAATTCGAAACTATTGTCAATATTTAATCTTTTGATCTTCTTTCATGTCTACTCAATTTGAACCTTCCAATTTTTAAATATTTAAATACAGCTCTCATTTGTTTGAACATATAAATCCCATACCTTACTTGAGGAATAATCTGTGACGGTGTGCGTTTGATTTAATACTTATAGGGCCCTATATGTTATAATGAATGAAGTTCAAAGTATTTTTGATTTGATGAACTCTAATTCCCAAAGCACAACGCTTATAAAATTTCGAAGCTCTGGACCTTTGACCATAAAGCAAGCCTCTATTACTCTGATAAGCCCAGTTTTGACAGATGCCCAAGTCTCATATTCATAATCTAATGAAATCATCTGAGAAAGAAACTAATATTGCATCTCTAATTATGCTGCTCTAGAGGAAGTAAAGATTGCCAAGTTCTTAGCTTTCATCCAAATCAGGATACACCAAAAAGCATTAATAAATACTTTACTTTCAACAATGTACTTGCACTTTCAGTTAAACATCCCATAAAGAAACTGTTTCTCTTCGAAGTTGGCAAATGCTTGACATCTCCTAAACCCTCACAGCTTAGTCATGTGTTTGAATGGAAATTGTGCTCATCCTAACAATCTTAGAGGTCATGTTATTGTCTGTAAGCACTTTTGCCCAAATTATAAGAAGAAAATCAGTCTCTTTGTGAGTTAACATGATGGAACATCTTGACTAAAAAATTCAATCTTCTATAGAAGTACAATAGCTTGTGGCTGCCAAAACTGGAATAACTCCATCTTGATGCTACTTAGGGCTTTACTTTCCTTTCTAATAAACTCTTTTCCAATAACTTGCAGTCTTTGTTGGCACCTATGCTTCTTGCAATAACGAGGTTGTACATTTTTTTTGGACATTGATTTTGATTTCTCTCTTGCCGCCAAGTGGCACCACTAAATTATGGTTATGGCCAAAGTCGTATGCTCCCCAATGACATCAAATCCTTGAGATATGAATCAATAGGATATAATCGATAGGGCACAAAGCTCTCTGTTAGCTAAGGTGGATTCAAATTTGTGTCCCTAGATAAATATTCACCCAAGTCTATAAGGTACCCTTGGATGACGCAACCCATGGCTGCTGATAAGGATTCTTTTGTCAGGTTGGGTTGACTACATCCTCTGACTAAGTAGACCAAGGATGGCTGCCAATAAGGATCCTTTTGTCAGGTTGGGTTGACTATCTCCTCTGACTAAGTAGACCAAGGAACACGATGGACCGGGACGACGGAACCATGGGATTTGATCGGGCCCATCATCCATTCCCCCACCATTCGCTTTAAGTGCAATATGGTGAAATTCCAATTTTAGATATCAAACTTTCAAATACCAAAACCCATGCTGCTACTATATGCCAGATACCACGTATCTCTGTGTATTTGATCGACTACTAGCCTTAATCGAAAGTTCTCTCGCGTTATCGGAAGGAGTAATTAACTATAGGGGCTTGCGCCTATAGGAAACCAGAATTCAGATCATATAGTCCTCGCAAAATGAGGGCGTCCTCGCAGAATAGTGTCTTATTTCAAACCCAATCTCCCTTCCCAAATTTTCCCCCGGAACTTGATCCGTTAAAACTCCTTGCTAAAAGCAAAATAGTGCAGATGGCGCGGGGAGGCGGGCACGAATTTTCGGAGCCCACATGGAGCTACTTCAACTTTTTCACGTATGTGCTCATTTCGTATCCTGTCTCTAAGAGTAAAGCCACTCATCCACCTGAGCATCCTCATCTCTGCAGCACTTAATATTATTATTATTATTTTCTTTTTAACACTAAACTTAATATTATGCTTCTCTCTTAATGGCCAACATTCCGCGCTATAAAACATTACAGGTCTCACCACTACCTTTTAGAATTTTCCCTTAAGTTTGAGTGGGACTTTTCTATCACACAACAAGCCCTATGCATTCCTCCACTTCAACCATCCAACTTGAATTGTACTAATAATATCCCCATCTATTTCACCATCACTCTAAATAATAGACTCGGGATATTTAAAACGTGTACTCTTATTAATGATTTGATTGCCCAAAATCACAATCTCCCACTAGATCTATTACTACTAAAATTACATTCTATATATTCAGTTTTAGATCTACTAAAATGAAAACCTTTAGACTCTAAGGTTGACCTCCATAGTTCAAGTTTACCTTCAACTTCCTGAATATTATTAGTAAAAACATACATGACTAAAACAAAAAGATAAGGGCTTAAGGCTGATCCTTGATGTAATCCAACTGAAATAGGAAAATACTTTGTCAAACCACCTTTTGTGTTTGAACACAAGTAACAGCTCCTGCATACATATCCTTTATGACTTGAATATAAAATTATTAATCATGTTCTTTTGTAGCACTCTCCATAACACTTCTCTTGAAACTTTATCATATGCTTTCTCTAAATCAATAAATAAATATCAGTAAATATCATATGTAGATCAATAGATTGAAAACTACTTCTGATCAAAATTGAATTAGGATATCCTCACTCAAATTATTCCCTTCCCGCTGCTGTACTCTAATCCTCACCTCTTAGAACAATAAATCAGTCATAAATAATTGATTTTCAACTTTTTGTGTGTTTCACTTTATTGTCTAATCTTATTTCCTTTACCGCTCTAATTCCTTGTGCTATTCAATAACTGCATTAGTGGGTTAACCATCCTGTCAATCCTCACAGAGGGAGGCTCGGCTTGAGCGCAATCGACACAGATCCTTCTTCCAGTAAAGGTAAGGAACTCAGATCTCTAATCATTCTTTGAGTAAATCGAAAATTTTCATTTCAGATTAACTTTCAAGCCTTTTGGTTCTGGTCCAGGTCACCATGAAGAACTAAAACCGTAATTGTCACCTTCAGCCCCTTTTAAATGGGGATTTTTTTATTTGATCGATAGAACTTGTGGTGTCTGTTTCCCTATGTTTGGATTCAAAATTAATATTTGATAACAACTAAGTAGAGAAATGAGTGATATGATAATATACTACTCTTAAGCATCTCTAAGCCCAAAGAAGTTGGAAAACTTCAAATTAATCATTATTGATCTCTCTTCAATACTTGAAAAAATTTCTCTACAAGCATTTATTCATCTTGTTTGATATTTTCATATTTTTATTCATCTTGTTTGCTTCACTTAGCCAAGTATGAATGATATATGTAATAAACGAATTCATTTAATAAGTAAGATTTATAGTCATGAAGTTGGGTAGGCTACCCACCGATGCTTAGCTCAGTTGGTGGGTGTGCTCGGGTGGGAACCCCCCATTCTGAGTTTGATTCCCTTGAGCGGCAGTCGCCCCTTCAGTGGGGGCCATCAAGTGCTGGCTGCAGGTTAAAAATTGGCGTGGGTGGCCCGGTAGGTCGGCCAGGGTTTACGGACCGCCAAGCGTCCTGGCAAAGTCAGGGTGGCAGCGGACGGTTCCTCTTCATAAAAAAAAAAAAAAAGTTGGGTAGGCTAAGATCAATGAAAATTTAAGAAGTTTTGTTGGCTTGGGAGAGAGCTAAATAATGAAGGACAGTGCTGCTTTTATTCCACCTTTGTTGTAAAAGAGTGATCAGTTCTAATTCTCTCTCTTTCCTTGATGTGTATATATATGATGCCTTTCATTTTTTTGATCGTGGAATCCCATATACCATATACAAGATGAAGCAACTTTTAACATGTCTTCTATTGGCTTTGTACAAGCAATTATATAGTCTACTTTTTTCCACCACAAAGCATCAAATATTTTCTCCTTCACAAATTTGACCTTGTAAAATTTCGTTTGGAATAATTTTCTTACTGTTTGTTATAGAAAAAATATAAAATTTTAAAATTATTATAAAAAACAGCTTTTAAGTTAAAAATATTTCACAAGTATCACACATATTAGTATGTAATAAGAATTTTTTTTAACCCTCCTGAGAGTGTAGAGAGTGAGTTATTATGAGGTTGGAGAGGATTAAATTCAATAACTTGACAACAACTTTCAAGATCACTATTTTTTTTTTTTTTGTGACAAGGAAGCACTGTCCATAGGCCAGTGAAAACTCCGGTCGACCTAGCATGCAATCCACACCAATTTATATGGGCTAACACTTAAGGCTTTCACTGCTTGCCAAGGGATTAGAACCAAGGACCTAGGCTTTGCCAGTCGACTCTTCACCACCCGGACAAGCAACGGTGGGTGAAGATCGCTATCATTCGAACTCATTGAGATCCACAAGAGTAGAGAGAGAGAGAGAGAGAGAGAGAGAGAGAGAGTGAGTGTGGTTAGACATCAACTCATTCTCTCTCTATCTTGAATTGATGAAAAAAGATTAATAAAGAGAAAAGGCCGCCAAGCATATTAGGGTTAGAACTTAGAACTTCTGCAAAAAAAAAAAAAGGTCTAAAAAAAAAAGGTCAATTGATAAAGATCTTAGAAGTTGTTGTCAAATTATTAAATTTAATCATCTCCTGTGCCTCATAATAATTCACTCTGTACAGTCTCAGGAGGGTAAAAAAAAAAAATCTTATTACAGACCAATATATGTGGTACTTGTGGAATATTTATTATTAAAATTTCTGTTATGTAATATTGAACAAGGGAAAATGTTCTTACTGAAGCAGATAATGTTACTAATGATGAGAGATTTAGAGGAATAGATGATACTTTGATTTTTCTAATGATTTATGTTTTTGTTGGTTGATTAATGGATTAGGCAATAACATACATGATTTTGTTTAATTGTGATCCAATTCCAAGCATGATTAAGTATGCTATTGATATTTTTTTTAGGTTTTTAAAGGGAAAATTTTGGGCCAGAATTTTCTCATTAAAGTTTGATTATGATGAATTTATTTGAGATAAGTGTATTTACATTTATTTTAATTCAATATAATAGTAAATTAATATAAAAAAATTCATGTTTGATCACCAATGTTTCAATCTTTTTTTTCTTTTTTTTTTTGAAGATAACAAAAAAAAAAGTTATAACCAAATAAAAATCACTAAAATTCGACCGAGTATTTAAATAAAAGAATTCCATGTAACATAAAGTTTGAAAGAGAGCTTAATAGGATTATATGTATATACTTATGAAATATTTTTCAGGGACAGTACAGAGCTTCATAGGATTAAATTTCAAATTGTCAAAGTCCAAGAACTTAGCCAGAACCAACACTTTCTAAATCACCCAATGTCATCATCTTCCTCTTCTCCGATGAATGGCAAACTCGACTACTACTACTTGCTCATCGGCTTCACACTTGTCTTCATTGCACTCCTCATCATCAGTGCCATCACAATGGGTTGTTGCACTTGGTTTCGATATCAATTCCTCTCAGTGCGTCGCTTGCTCATCCGCGAGCATAATGACTTGGAAATGCGGCGTTGGATTCCAACATTCAAATATCACAAGAAAGAAGCGGGGGTTGGGGAGGAGGAAGAGAAAGCTGCACCAGAATGTGTGATATGCCTATCACCATTTGATGAAGGAGAGGAGGTTAGCCAATTGCCATCATGCCGACATTTATTTCATGCAGGTTGTATTTACTTGTGGCTCCACAGAAATAATAATTGTCCAATTTGTCGTGCCATTGTTTTATTACATGCTATTAATATGTCAATGTAGTTTAGTTCTCTTAAGATAATTAATCTCATTCTACTAGAAGAAGATTGTGATAGCAATGCCTGAAGGTGTTGGAGAATTTATATGGATATATTGATATTTATGATTCCCCAAATTACATGAATGGCCATCAAGATGTTAGCGATGTAAAAACTGTATTTTTTTGTGAAAATGAGAAAGCATATTTAAAATTTTAGTCGAAACAAGAGTTTTTAAAAACAAGTAGAAACATATGTGCAGTACCAAACAATGAGATGAAAAATAATATATATTTGATTATTAATTTGAATAAATTAAATTTATTTTCATTTAATAATAATAATTAATATAATTATATATTATATTAGCAAAAAACTTATAAAGAAAAATACAATGAATATAAATATTTTTTTAATAATTATGATATACTTTGTAATAAATTTCAACTATAAATATAAAACACATGTTATAATATTTATATTACATCGAACCATTCCAATAATAATTAAAAAAATTCATAAGAAATATAATTTTTATTTCTCTTTCTTTTTTCTCTCTCTTCTATGGTTAATTAAGTTTCTTCACTTCTTTTTATCTTCTCTCACATCTCAAGAGAAGGAAGAACAAAAAACCACTATACTTCTAGCTGAAATATAGAGTAATAATATTCATGAAATTCTCAGTCTAACTGAGACGGTTTTTTGTCCCATAAAAATTAATAATTTGATGAAAAATAAATATCTACACACAAAAACTAAAATCTCTTATTGTTTGCTCATCGGAAGTTTTATCAAATAAAATCACATTTAAACAAAGACAATAATGAAGCAAAGAAACTCAAGTCAATAATCACCGTGAGATTTCTTTAATAATCACGCTCTGCACATCATGTTATCTATAATTATATTAGGATATACACAGTTAAAATGTGGTTTCAATATTAAAATAATTTGTTTTTGATATTCCTGATAAATTTTGTGATCAAACTTGTTTTCTTTTAAATATTAGTTTTAGAAATAATTTTATAAGCCCTAAGATTAATTGAAACTTAGAAATATAAACTTACACATAATTTTAAAGTTTTACAACGAATTTTATGGTGGCGGTGGTCGTGGAAGCAGCTGCTGGTGGTGGGCAGCCAGCGGCCAACAATGGTAATGGTCGGTGGCAATGGCAAGCAGCGGTCAACAACAAAAGGTGACGGCGGGCAGTGGTGGCCGACAACCAACACGTGGCAACAATGAGCGGAAATAGTAACAAAAAATTTCTAGTGTATCTGAAATTTGTCCAAATATGAGGAAGAATTTCAAAATGATGAATTCTAAATGCATCATAATATTACACTGCATTGATGCATTCCTTTTACTTTAAACCACACATCAGTATTCTCAGAACCCTTACATTTAAAATACTTTATACGCAAAAAATTGACAATCAATAGCATACTTAATCATGCTTGGAATTGGATCGCAATTAAACAAAATCATGTATGTTATTGCCTAATCCATAAATCAACCAACAAAAACATAAATCATTAGAAACATCAAAGTATCATCTATTCATCTAAATCTCTCATCACCCTAAAAGACCCAACAAAACAATATCTGCTTGATACAGAACATTCTCCCATGTTCAACATTACATAACAGAAATTTCAATGATAAATATTCCACAAGTATCACACATATATTGGTAATGTAATAAGAATTTTTTTTTAAACCCTCCTGAGAGTCTAGAGAGAGAGTTATTATGAGGCAAGAGAGGATTAAATTCAATAATCTGACAACAACTTCCAAGATCGTTCTCAATCCAACTCATTGAGATCCACAAGAGTAGAGAGAGAGAGAGAGAGAGAGGTTAGACATCAGCTCATTCTCTCTCTCTCTCTCTTACATTTTTTTTTTCAAAATTTTTTCTCTTATTGCTCAATGGGTAAAATCAACAACCTTAATTTTTTTTTTAACCAATTACTGCTAAAGCAGGGAGAGATACCTCAGAAATATGGCCGATAGCGCATTGGCCGCCGGAACCTTGGAGCTTTTCTGCATAGAAAGAAAGCTAAGGTGTCTTTAGAAACTAGGATAGATAAGAGGAAAGAACAAAGATAAATTGTCACTCAACAATCCTAAGGGTTCTTTCATTTGATAAAAGAAGATTACTTGGGAGCATAAATACATAAATAGAAAATCTTAACACATGGTTTTGTACTGGCATTCTTCTGCTTAGTTCTTCATTTAATACTAATCCGGACGTGACATATCACCCGGGGCCCTGTGCATCCGGATGTGGTGCGTTCGGATTCACCTCCGGACGGTTCGGATACCGCACATAATAATCTCTCCAAAGAGTGCGGAGTGGATTTATTTAGTGTGATTACATGCGCTAACCGATGTGCCTACTTGATGCTTGAAGTACTAAGAGCTCGCCTCAGTCAAGTGAGGCAAAAAATATAAATTCACTTATTTTAATCAACATCAACAAGTTTTTATCCAACTGCGTGGAGAAATTCACTATTTTAATCAAAGAATATTTGTTTATAATATGATGATCCTTACAATAAATAAATAAAATCTAGAATCACAGTTAAAAATATCAAATCATTAGCAAACTAATCAGTCACTAACAAATTTATAAACTGTTAACAAATTACTAATAACCTGCTAATAAATTGCAAAAAGTTTAACGATATTAGGCATAATAATCCTAATAAAATATAAAATCTAGTACTCATGAAGCATTTCTCCGTAATATTTTTGAGTTTAGTCATAGTAATATAAAATTTAAAATACATTTTTGAGTCTTTATAATATTCATATATTACATAGTACTCTTGAGATACTACTCCATTTAACCACTTGATTTTAACTCTAGAACTTATATCTTCAGTAAGATCCCAATCTATAAATCTAAAATATTTAAATATATTGCATATAAATATCACTTTATCTTCTAATAATATTGATAAAAATTTATCTTCTAATAATATTGACAAACAATTATCATATCACACTCAATAAAATTGCATATTCTAATACAATCATCATCTATATCCTAATAATTTATGGGGTTCTATGAATCATTATTTTCCATACTCCTATTAAATGTTTTCAGAGATATTAAACTAATAATGCATACCACAAAATAATCATTTTTTTCAACTAATCTGATAGACGGGTCCAAATAGGACGGGTTCACTATTACCGGAGGCGGAACAGGCGGGTTTTGCTCCCCATGCCTATCGCCCCTTTTATGTGGTCCACTAACATAATTAAGAGAAAATTAAGGGGATTTTAAGGGGGAGAATTCAAATAGAATGGATTAATTTGGGATTTACCTAAGGATTATATGCTTAAGTATGTTTTCGAAGCAAGGGTTTGGTTTTGGGGGATCTTGTTTTTTCCGCAGTTCGTTATTTTCTGATTTCTTGTGTGAGCTCTAGCGGCATCTAGAAAGTTGGGAGAGCCAGATCTTCCTCTCCAATTGAAGATCCAACTGTATCTTGCTATTTTCTTCCTTCAATTCGAGTTTTTGTGTGTTTATTAATACAATCTTTACTTTATCATACATAACTTTTAATACTCCACACACCTTTGAGACTTTGACACGCATTTTTCTAGATGTGCCTCAAAGCAATTTTCAAGGCACTCAATTATATAACTTCTTAATGTTAATAAAACCATCTAAAATTTATTTATTTGCTCTATATTTTTTAAATTCTTAGCATGATAATATATCTTATTGATATTAAATCATATGAATTCTCTAATATCGACATAATTTTCAAAGTCTACTTTCCATTACATAATCCCTATGTTGCACCGATACGGATACGACAACACAGATATGACACGATACGGATACGAGACACGTCAATTCTTAAAAATACAGAATACAGGTATGGAACGGATACAATATTATAATTTATAAATCATACAAAAAAATTACGAAAGCAATCAAAGCATAATATTTGAAATTACAAAAAAAAATGAAAGTACATCATTTGTAGCCTTGTAGCTTATAATATCAAAATAAAAGTAAGCATTAAATGTTTAGTACAACAACAAAAGTATAAACATAAATTGTCTAGCAAATGAAGTTTTAACTATTCAATAGAAGGAAATATATGATTAGCTTCTTCAGTGGTTTGTCCTTGAATTTCTATATCATCATCAATAAATATCATAGCTTCTAATTCAGGCTCATCAAGTGAAATATTAATAATTTCTAATATTCTCATATCATCAAGAAACTCAAATCCGCCTCGGAAATGAGAGAACCTCGCTCGCAGCTGCGGAAGTAAATACGACGGGTCTTTTTTCGATTTTTTTTTTATTTTTCAATGGACACGCGTATCAGATACGCGTGTCCTTTTGAAATTAAATATTATTTTAATTGGATATGGCAAAGCCATATCCGACACGTATTGGTGCTTTATTGGAGGCGTATCTGTGTATCGGTGTATTGGATAAAACATGCCTTCATAAATAGGTGAATCAATGCAACATATCATAATCCCCTAACTTCAATGCATAACCTACAGGTTAAATTCTCATACCATTTCTACAATCCTAAAAATCTTCCTTTTTTCTAAAAAATTAGAAACAAAATATTTATTTAATCCATAATTTAGCGTATTCTTCATTTACATAGAACTCGCTAAAAATAAAAATTAGACAAAGGAATTTAGGAATACTACGATGATGTCGTCCCCCAAGGAACATGAATAACAGTTTTTGTAATGCTAACGTGCAACAAAACTAAAATAAAGCTCTAAGGAAATTGTTTCTTAAAAAGGATTTTGTTCAGGTCCTCAGGAACCATTGTTAGTCGGTAGATTTTATAAATTACAAATCAATTGGCAATACTATATAAATATTCGTATTACAAATAAATCAATAAAAACTAGGCTAAGTGGCATAAATAATGACGTTGAATTAAGATGTGGTAAAACTTGATATAATATATAAAACAAGCAATGCCAATGATTTGCTCAATAGATTCAAGATAAACTAAGCTCTTAGCAGAATCAATTTATCCAAATGCTTGGAAGCCATCAAACGCTGCCTAAATTTTGAAAGGCATCAAAAGATAAGTTTGATATCAACTTATCTGATAAATAAAACAAAAAACTTTCCGCAAACACTGATAAGGCTAACAATTTGACACACGGATCATATATATGCGCGCACACGCTTTTGTTCTAAAATATTGATCTTACAACAACAACATCAAGCCACATGAATCATTTTTCTCCATTGTGTCATATTAAAAGTCAAATTCTCATTCAAATCTAATAAAGGTCGTTCCTAATATTTTCTAACCAAGTCTTTTTAGGCATGCTTCTACCTTTCTTAACATAAGTCAAATCTAATACCTCTACTCTCCTAACCGGGTCATCGGAAGGCCGCCGTTTTATGTGACCAAACCATCTAAGGTGACTCTCTCTAATCTTATATTCTATTGGAGCTACTCCAACCTTTTCACGTATATGCTCATTTCGTATCCTATCTCTAAGGGTAAAGCCACTCATCCACCTGAACATCCTCATCTCTGCCACACTTAACTCAGTATTATGCTTCTCTTTTCATGGCCAACATTTGGCACCATAAAGCATTGCAGACCTCACCACCATCTTATAGAATTTTCCCTTAAGTTTGAGGGTACTTTTCTATCACACAACAAGCCCGATGCATTCCTCCACTTCAACCATCCAACTTGAATTCTGTTGATAATATCCTCATCTATATCACCATCACTCTGAATAATAGATCCAAGATATCTACTATAGGAGAAGAAATTCAAATAATTTAGGCTCAAATCAAAGGAAAAAAAATAAATGAGCCAAGTATAACTTAAATCTATATTGGATTTAATTAGTCTACAACTAGGCTTGATTTGGCGTGATATCAAATCAAATAGTTCTGAGTTAATCTCGAGCAAATTCGGTTGGCTCAAGATCAGCTTGAACGCATACCTAGACATTGTCTAATGAGTACAAAGAATGAAAATAAATAGAGAAAGTTTTACCCGTATCCGTATGGAGCATAATATGGAGATGGCATGAAAGGTCTCCTTGGTCGAAATGCCATATATGGGTTAGGTCGCCTGCCACGATAAAGCTTCATACCAGGAATATTTGTCCTCTTAGCTGACACCTGCCAGTTTCATATTTAAATTTTAAAGGCATGGAAAGAGATAGAGAAACATACTGAAATTTATAATAGACACTTATTAACCTTTAACTGACGACCATGCAATTCTGACTCATTTAATAGAAGAGCATTTTGTACGGCCTCTAATTCAACAAATTCCACATAAGCAAATCCCTTGGGTTGGCCAAACTTGTCCGTTAAAATTGTTACCCTGTTCACAGTTCCACAAGACTGGAAGTGCTGTTGCACCTCTTCAGGAGTGCAGGAATAATCAACCTGGGAAAAGTTCATGATAATTATTGCATATTGCTAAAGCAGACCATTCCATAATAAAATGGACAGCATTGAACACTCGAGAGAAACTAAAAGAACAGTAAAACATGAAGAATATAAGCTAATGTTTGTAAAAAACTCTCCAAGCTCCAACCATAACAAACGATGCATTTAAAAGTAGGGGCAATTACATTCATAACATCTTGAAACTTGACTACTTACAAAACTCAAACCTTTTTCCACCCACTTTTAAAATGTTCATCCAAATTTCAAAATTCAACAAAAACTCAAACTGTATTTTTCTCTTTTAACAAATTCCTAGTTGTTTAATCATGGCATGCACAAATACATGGGTTTCATAGTTCAAAAAAATATCATGGGTGTTTATTTTATAAATAAGCAAATTTCAGGTATTATACATGTAATTCTCCCTAACAAGTTAATTAAATTCTATGTTCTCAAATAGCTCCTATTTTTAATTGTGATGAAGGTTGTCATACATTGAATAACAAGTATTGTGATTATTTTGCATAAATATGTTGAAGCTAAATCTACGCAACACCTTATTCTGTTCGTATTACCACAAAAGGTTCCCTAATAATGTACAAAAATATTAAAAGTGGATACCAATTCGGCATTCCTACAATGAGCAAGAATGGGTGATATCCTTATAGTCGACCAAACTAATATCGACTCCTCTTATGGTCGTCTAATGGAGGCCATAGTAGCTAGGGTTTTGGCTCTTCTTCATGAAGATATAGATTCGAAGCCATATAATAGTGGATTTTTCACTCAATAATAATAATAATAATAATAAATATTGCCTCATCTTCATTGGTCCCACCTGAGGTCTGCAAGATGGAGAGGATTGTTTCAAGTTGTTTAATCATGACATGTACAAATACATGGGTTTCACAGTTCGAAAAAATATCATGGGTGTTTGTTTTATAAATAGGCAAATTTCAGTTATTATATGTAATCCTCCCTAACAAAGTAAATTAAATTCTATGTTCTCAAATAGCTCCTATTTTTAATTGTGATGAAGGTTATCATACCATGAATAACAAGCATTGTTATTATTTTGCATAAATATGTTGAAGTTAAATCTGAACAACACCTTATTCTGTTTGTATCCACAAAAGGCTCCCTAAGAACGTACAAAAATATCAAAAGTGGATACCAATTCGGCATTCCTTCTACAATGAGCAAGAATGGGTGATATCCTTATAGTCGACCAAACTAATATCTACTCCTCTTATGGCCGCATGATGGCCATATGAGCAATCAAAATTTTAAAGCATAGGGACTACCAACAAATTGCATATAAACTTGACGTCTTCCTTTCAAAAATAACAAAAAAGTAATACAATAAATAAGATACAAAATTTGACACAACAAACTTGAAATAAAAGACATAACACGATGCAATGACACCCTTAAAATACGACTCAAAACACCTTAAAACTTTTATATTAATTGAGAAGAAAGATACAAATTGGGTGGAAACTTGCGGAGAGAAGAAATAGATAAAAAGCCCGAGAAGAAGTCAAAGAGAGGAGAAGAAGTGGATAAAGCTCGCAAGCTATCCAAGAAGAAACTCTCAGGTTTTAGTTCCAAAAATCATTACCAAATTCTCTCTTTTAACAGCCACTATATATAGGGGAAGAGAGGGAGCTAAACAGCCGCCCATTCCATCCAATCAGAAAAAGGGAGTCAAAAGGCCAAGGCAGCCGAATGAAGCAGCACTCGAAGAGCCAGCGGGACAACCACCGAACGGACAGCGCCAGGGGGAAGGAACCGAGCAAGTAGAGTAAACGAAGGGCCAAAACAGGGGGGAAAGAACCCGGCCAATAGCCATAATGAGCTGAAGAAGTCAACAAAACTCAGCAGCTAACATAACTAGGCAGCAAATCCCCCCCCCCCCCCCCCCCCCCCCCCCCCCCCACCTCCTTTTGCCTACATCAATTATCCTTCGGTTGAAAGATATCATCTCCTGATGAGATGACTTTAGAACATTCCTAACGAGTCAAAAGCGCCGTATCCAATTCTTGAATCAATGCCGCATATTTTCTCTAAATTATTTCTCTTTCTTGCTTAAATTTGGCTTGAAGAAGTTTCTTTTTCTTCTCGTATTTTTCTGTTCACAAATACATTTGATATTGAATTTTGTACAATTCGTTTTGTATGGGAATGGTAGAACTTCCTTGCGGTAGGATCCATCGGCTCTTAGAAATAGCTTCTTCCAGATCACTTGGCTTACTTTCTTAACTACATTCAACTTGATGTTTATCCATTTTTCTAAAGACTTATAAGAAAAGGAAGATACAAAAACCTAGGCTCTAATACCAAATTGATGCAATCAAATTTTTTGAAAAAAAACCTAGGCTCTGATACCAAATTGATGCAATCAAATTTTTTGAAAAAAAACTAAGATTGCATACACTATCGTCTTCCTTTCGTTTTCCTTTCAAAAATGACAAAATTTACAACAAAGACAAACAATATATTAGAACAATAAAACACCTAAAAGCTTTTCTTTGATTGAGAAGAAAGATAAAAATGGGGTGGACACTTGCGGAGAGAAGACTTAGATAATACAACTTAAAATAAAAGGACAACACATGAAACATATCGCAACGGCACCTTACAACATCAAATAAAAGGACATAACAATATTTTAAAACTTTTATATATTTTAGAACGGACAACACTTACAACTCACACGATAAACAATATCTTAGAACATAAAAACACCTAAAGACTTTTCATTGATTGAAAAGAAAGAAACAAATGGGGTGGAAACTTGCGGAGAGAAGAAATAGATAAAAAGAGAGGAGAAGAGAAAGGGGGACATAGCTCGCAAGCTATCAAAGAAGAACCCTCAGGTTTTCATGCTCCAAAAATCATCCATAACTCTCTCTTTTAATAGCCACAAAACAACCACTATATATAAGGAAAGAGAGGAAACTAAACAGCCCAAACAGCTGCCCATTCCATCCAATCAGAAAAGGGGAGGCAAAAGGCCAACAGGCAGCCGAATGGAGCAACACCTGAAGGGCCAGCGGGACACAGCCACCGAACTGACAGCGCCAGGGGGAAGGAACCTGGCAGCTAGAGGAAACGAATGGCCAAAACAGGAGGGAAAGAACCCGGGCAGCAGCGAGCTGAAAAAGGCAACAGAACTCCGCAGCTAACATAACTAGGCAGCAAATCAACTGCAACCATCGTAGCCAGGGTTTTTGCTCTCCTTCATGAAGATATAGATTCAAAACCATATAATAGTGGATTTTTCACTCAATAATAATAATAATAATAATAAACAATATTGCCTCATTTTCATTGGTCCCACCTGAGGCCTGCACAATGGAGAGGATTGTTTCAAGTTGGAAACAAGAAATGCTACTTTGCCTTGCTCCCCTTATCTTTTGATGGGGATCATCTAGCAACCTACCACCTCAAGATAGCGGATAAAAAGGTGAAAACCCACATTGACTCTGGCCTTCACCCCACCAAATTACCGACAAAACACTTATAATGCTCTGCATGTTCCATGTCACGATGTAAACAAGTCTTAATCAGTTCCCAGCATCAATATAGGATCTATACTCGTAACTAAATGACCATATGAATCAAACATGCAAGTGTGTAAAATAACATGATCGTACCGTATCATCTTTAGATCAACTATCATGATAGTTTTCATTAAATTTTGGAAGTAACAAAAATAATCTTCCTACTACATATGGAGATTACAGTGGAAAGAGCTTCATCATTGAGTATATAACGTTCTAACTATAATACCGGGCCTTCCAACATTTCTATTACTCTTTATTACTCTATTCACCGCACCTAGTTCTACTCTAGGACCAAGCGATCTCTATTAAGAGGACTCCGCTTTTGGTGTGAATGCAGACTACATATTGAGTTGAAATTGCTTAAAATTCTCTCTCCCCCTTCATCCCTCATTCATGGATATTCATTCTCTATTTCAATAACTCCAAGGTTATTCTCTTCTTTTCTTAATTTTATTCTAGAAGTTTTTCACCTCCAACAGCTCAATCAGACCGAAGTGCTACATCAAGTTCTGTAAGAGCATCAGTTATGCATGAATTGGTATCTAGACCCAAAAACTAATTCCAGACATATATTTGCAGTGGTAGCTTCAAGACTGCCTCTAATCTGCACTACATAAAGGCCGCTATGGATCCTGATACTCATGGCATAATTAATTTTTATGTGAGTTCTTAACTTGAATCTAATTGGAAACTTTCATTTAATATTAATATTTAAGATTGAGATTTATATTTATATCTTAATGATGATGAACTAAGTTAATATACCAATGATTTATGTCATATTTATGAATTTTTTTTAATTTTACTAGTTTTTTTTTAAATTTGGCACAAGATGTCCATAAAAAAAGGACCAACTAGTAGAGGCCAAAGCAAAAATGTAACTACTAACAGACAAGGGATTAAGACGATAAAACTACTTAACCTTTTATTTACTATTTGTACTTATTATGCGTGATAATTTAAAAATAAAAAAATAAAAAAAAAACTATGCGTGATAATTGTTGTAATAGACTATTTACTTGTGATTTTTATTTATAGTTGTAATTATATAAGAAAAATTGAATTTCAAAATTTTTAAATTTTTAAATAAAGATTTTCAAATTTTGGAAAGAATAATATCAAAATTAAATATAAAATTCGTTATTTAAATTTTCATAATTCAAATAATTCAAATAATCAATTTGGAGCCAAGAGGGGCCAACCACTCTTCCTCCAAAAGGATAACTGCATCTCCTAGCCAAGGTGTGCTTTTGTAATGTTGTAAAACTATGTAAAGCTTGATGGAATGAAGAGAAAAAGGTGGCTGTTGGGTTTGCAAAATTTGGAATTTCTCCCAAGAATACGAGAATTGATGGGCAGCCTTCAAACTTGAATAGGTTTGATGGACTAGATTTGATGACCACTTAACATTGCTACTTTGGTGAGTAATAAGCGCATTATAACTTTAGATTAATATTTTTCTTTTACTTTAGAATTCTTCTACAAGCAACACCTCAATGTCCCACACTCATTTCCTAGCATTCTCCCCACAAAAATCCATCCTAAACCCTACTAAAGCCTCTCGGCCAATCCTGGATTGAATCTAGCCTAGCTGGATTCTAGCCCTCATTTGACCCATCAAAACTCCTTCGAAATTCATCAGAATTTTCAAAATTGTACTAAAGACACTCATCTTCCATTTCCAAGCATAATCAAGTCTTGAAGTTCCCATCAGTTGAAGCCCTAAAAGTCTAAAGTCCAATTGTCGAATTACGGCTAGCTTTCCACCACCCTAGTATGTCACCTTCCTTTTGCATGGAACTTAAATACCATTCAATTTCAACCCTTCCCAAGGCTTTGGCATCATTTAATATATTCTCCCATTGAATTTGGATTGTCTCAGTTCTAAATGGACCTAAGACCAAGTAAACATGCGAGTTGTTGTGATATATGGAAAAAAAAGTATCATGGCACTTGGTTGCAAAAGAAAGAATAGTGCAAATACGGTTGTAGGATGAAGGCTATATATGAGAAATTTACGCAGAAGGAATAAAGAGAAATATCAAACTTAAGGATTGCAAGTTCAAGGCAACATAATGATAAAGGCTACTAAAATGTTAATAAAAAAAACCCAAGACTTTGATACCATGACAAAAAATGAAGAAAATAAGTTGTGTATTTCATTTTATTATTGTGTGGAATATATAAAAAACTAGGAGAACCTATAACAGGAAAAAACAAAATTTTGAGGCTGAAAATTAGCCACATACTTAATTATAATTAGGCCTCCTCTGGATCGGTGAGGTGGCATCAATGATCTCATGAATCAATGAGTTGGAAGAGAACAAGGAAAGAGACGAAAGGGGGAGGTGGCAACAAATGTTAGCAATAATTATAGGAGAGGGATGAGCATTGCAGTAGGCCAAAGTCTTGGGCCCTCATCCATGGTAGGATTATTCCAATTTTTTTCTTTTCACAACACATGAGATTTTATGAACTATCGCATGACTTATAGATAATCACCTAAGAATAATGCAAAGTATTATTTTGCATTGTCAGTTTTCAAGTAATTTTGCTTGAAAATGAGTAATTCATAATGTCAAAAATTTTAATTATTTGATCTTCCTTGAATTTTTTTCATAAGGAATATCCATGTCACTCTAGAAGACAAACCAAAGGTTTTCAATCACATTTTTTATTCTAAATGATTCTCAAACATCATTGTGAATGAAGGAAAAATGGTTTTGTAAGAATGGTCAGGATAAGAATTTTTCATGTGTTCTAAGAATTGCTAAACTTATATGAGAAAAATTTTTAAATTTCATTTTTTGAATAACAAAAAGGCATTGAATATTTTACATATGTTGATCGGTTGGATCAGCAACTGATAGAAGATCAATCATTGGGCATTGTACTTTTGTATGGGGAACTCTTGTAACGAGGAGAAAGAAACAAACAGTTGAAGTGAAGAAGCACTGTTGAGCTAAGTTTGAGGCTAAATCCCATGGTGCATGTAAAGGAATTCCTCTTAGAGGTTATTGAGGAATTAAGAATTCAAACTACCGAATCCGCACAAATATTTTGTAACAACAAAGCCTCCATGAGTATTGCAAAAAAATCTTGTCCATCATAAAAGAACTAAGCATGTTGAAATAGATCGTAGCTTCAGCAAAGAGAACTTTGAGGGGATCAAAAAGCTTCTCCATACAACTATATTCTTTCAAGTGACTGACAAGCATATTAAGCCTACATCTCACGTTAGTTTCAAGAACGTATCATCCAAGTTGGGCATGATTAACATATCCAACCCAACTTAAGTGGAACTGCTTATTTTCAATCCTTAGCCGGATAAAGAATTTGCCAAATTCATGCTGCTACCATGAAAGGAAGAGATTCGATGATGCCAATAATGGAAGTACCCTGCTGCTGCAGTGAATGGAAGGCACCTGTTCGCTCTTGTTGTAGGCGAGAATGGAAGGATCCAAGTTATGCCCAGTATTGACTATGAAGGTATATAATGCTAGAATCTCCTAATTCTTGTATGTGGTAATGAGGTTTGAATGGGATGATTTTGCTAGCAGAGAGCAGCGAGTGTTGTAAAGAGCATTTCTATATCTATATTACAATGTAGCGCCAGTTAGGAAGGTTATTATATGATAAATATGTCCATCTCTCCTATTTCCTTACTAGGAGGATCCAATTAGGTATTCTAGGTGCAATTAGTGAACGCGGAGAGTTCTCCTACCATGTTAAATAAACCATCCTTGTATCTGAATTTTCCAAGCTGCAGAAATATACTTTTATCCATTGTTCTCTGATTTTCAACATAAGAAATAACAAACCAGGGAAATTTGCTCAATATATCAGTTCACTGTTGAAGAGAATTCAAATGAGAATTGCTTGCGCATGAATTCATGAATGCATGCTTGCTTGCATTGAGTGTTGTAGGAAGTTATCCTTAAGTTCTTCAAAACAAAAGCACAGTATTTTGGTGAGCTTGAAACAATTTTGAAACAACTCCCCATTCACCAAAAACATGCTTGCAGTGAAACTAATAAAGCGAGTTCATAATAACACATAGAAAAGTAGTGAAAAAATGATAGGGAAAACTCACATTGCCTACATAGATTGATCGAGAGTCCACCTCCTCTTTCTCAATTTGTGTTGCAGCAGCACTTGATGAATCGTCTAGAATTATCCAACATCCAACAAAGAAAAATTATAAACAAAAAGTTAAATAACTTGATCATATACCAATAATAGAAAACAACAATACCTATTTCACACTAAACAAATGTGGGAATCGAAGGATAAAGAGTTGGCATACATTGCATAAAACCATCTAAGAATGCATCACAGTTTAAAATTACACAATTGAGTATTGAGGTATTTCTCATTCGTGGGGCGATGCATAAAGCATAAAGCATAAGGCTTAAGCCTCAAAATAAAAAAATTGAGTCAAGTGAAAATAAAGGTTAAAGCTGATTTTTATATAATACTCAAATATGTTAAATGATGCCATATTAACTTTCTATTGAACTATGAAATGGTAAACTGGCATACCTATGAAACAAAGAATTGAACAAGACAAAAAATAACATGTGATAAATTGCGTGAAATGAAATTGAAATCCAAAATATAGGAATTGCATAAATATCATATAATATCAAGTTCAACTCTAAATTCCATCTTCTCAATTCTCTATTCATCCACATTTAATTCCTTAAGAAAGTTGAAATAATTGGCAACAACTCAGAAATCATCTGCACTGTCATCACTAGGACAGTATCTAGTTGAGTCATCGTCATAATAAATTGATCTCTCCACTGCCTCATACTATGAAGTCCAATAACTTCCAATTTGTTTCTTTTTTCAATCATCTTCCTCTTTCATAAATATTTGTCATAAACATAAAGATGATAGTAATACTAAAAAAAATTAGAGGGAGGGGTGATGGTGTGCAACTTTCAAGTAATCCCAAGTTGTGGCTATGACGGTGGCGACCGCAACGAAGGTGACAGATTGGATGTCGAGGCAAATGAGAGTAAGTTGTTGCGGCTGGAGGTGCATGAAGATATGTGATTTGTTCTGGGCTTTTGTATAGAATTTGGGTAAATTTTAATAAAAATATATATAAATAGGGTGAGTCATATGTCTTATGCAAGTGAGACGGGCCTAAGCCAAGCTGAGGTGTAAGCCTCATTAAAAAGCTCGAACGTCGGCCTCGAGGCATAAGCCTGAAGGCATTTTTCACTGGAATTATGTTGAGGCGGGCCTCAAGGAAAGTCTTAAATTGCACAATTTTAAACAATATAATGCATTTATAGAAACTGCTACATTTAATGGTTCCCTCTATACCATCAAAAAACCTACAACACTTCTCAGCATATGAAGCACATATACTTTTATAATGGTATGGCATCCACAATGAATATTCTTTAGAAACTTTGACGTTCTATGGATAATGAATATTATGTAGGATATACTATTCAGCATGATGGATTCAAAATTCTCTTACATTCAATATCAAATGGATCAAATCTTTGGCATTGTTTGATAGTTAAATCCAAAAAAATACATTTAAAATATGTAAAAAAATTATGATGAGAAATCCAAATTTATTCAATTCATATTTGAAAAAACTTTAAAAAAAAAAGATTTTTACTCAAATGATTTGAAAAAGAAGAAGCAATCTAAGCATTCAAAGTTATTTCAATCGAACAAAATTAATTGGCTCAATACAACCAAAACAAAACCACTTGCAAAGTTATTTCCAATGCCACAAATTCCCTTGTCCAGTGGGAAATAGATTGAGGATACTCCATTTAATATATAAGAAACTTGATCCTATCATATACATTCACAAATCATCAAGAAAAACCTCTTAACATGTGCCTTCTGCGTGCATTAGAGTCCAAGCAAAACGTGGACAGCGGGTAAAACTGACATACGGCCAAGTTACATTTCGACCCAGTTAAATCCGTAGCCAATTCCGCTGGCTCAAAAGTCAACGCAACTGTCCGCATAACTAAAAAAACAGTTCTCTAAAATAGGGTTTGGAATTTGAGCGCTTAAATTTTTCCCCAAAAAAATTTTGAGTGCTTAAATTGCATATACTCTTTTAGCAGTCATAATTCAGAAATGCAGGCAAGAAAATCAAATAAAGTTGTTCCAAAAACAAAAAAAAAAAAACAAAGAAGGATTGACCAAGAAGCATTACTCGCTGCCTACTTAAGAGAAGGCGAGATTCAGATCCCTGATACCCTTTTATAAAAATAGTTAAAACCTAAAGTACGGGCAAACAGATCTCCCGTTGAAAAAATCTATAAAAAGTAGTAAAACAGCCAATTTTTTATCAGTCAAAAATAGCATCGTATACCCTGGTTGGCACCCATTTCTTTCTCAACCCTGGCCTGCATATCGCGGAGCGCACTCGCCTCCTCCTCTATTTCTTTAAGCCTCTTCTTCATGTCCTCCAAGCTCTGCAAGTCAAAGAAAAAGTGAGTCAAGTTCAGGTCTGAAAAGCAAGAATACAAGAAGCAAGAGCAATCAATGATCCACGGAAAGACCTCCTCTCTGGAGTTGGGGTCGATCTCCGCTACTCCATCGCCTTCAGCGGCAAGCATCTCCTCGTCGCCTTCCATGTCGGGGATCTCTCCACCATACACCTCGTGCTCGTGCTCCTGGTGGTCATCCATGGCAGCCTCCTCCCTTCCCCTATTATTGGTCGAAAAAGGGATGGGATTTAGGTTTTCTCTTTAGGCAAAGCTGCGGCTACGGCCCCATTTAGAAGACCAATGAGCAATTTCGATGCCTCTCAAAATCTAAAGGAGCCATTTTATTGAACTAGCTAAAAACCCTAAACTTCAATAACAACATATGAGAAAAAAATTTGGTCATGTTAATTAACCTAATATGTAATGAGTATTATGTTCAAATTTTAGCTTGACATTCATATAATTAATAAAAAAATTGTGAATTTTTTATTAAAATGAAATTTAACCCAAAAAAAAAAAGATATTTGATTTGGTAACCAAAATGAGGCATTAGATGACCTAATTCTATAATATTCTTATAAGGATCAAGCCAAGTAATCATTTAAAGTATAAATTTGACATTTAAAATAGTATATATTATGAATAATTAATATTGAGTTGTCAAATAATAATAGTTTTAAATCTTAACTATTAAATCTAAAATAAGCAGTTTGATGGTGTAATTAAGGAGTGACAAAATATTATGTCCATATTAGCAATAAGGAACTACTGTGAAAGAGATGTGAGAGTCATCATAATCAAGTGAGATAATATCTCTGTGACGAAGAGCAAACTCATGGAAACCTAGGAGGATGTTGGCCACAATATATTTTCTTATATTTGCAAGGCAAACCACTTAGATAAGCATATATGTCATGTAGATCTTGTACACGAGCCTCAACGAGACTTTATTCAAGGTTCTCTAATATCTGAAGTAATGCATGCATACCTTGCTAATTGAAACAAGATAAATGTACTCCATGTATACAAACTTTTTTCACCTTGATTAGAAACATAACATATTGTTTAGAGGATATGAACATAAAGATCATTCATTTATATCACCATGTACAAAAAATGATGTCTAGTTAAATTAGATCCTAATCAATCTAGAGTGCTCAATCAACCTTATGTCTCTTCAAATGCTAAAGTGGCCAGTGTTTGACATCCAAAACTATAATGGACCATAATTCATAATGCTTCAAATGAAAAAGTGTAGAAGAACCACAGTTATTTTGTCTTTCATCTCAAATTCAAGAACATATGCAGCAAGGCATTGTTATGATTGATTTGATATTTTCTCACATTTCCCTTGGATAGGTCATTGCTTACCTTGTATGCCCCCTTATATCATTAAATAAAGCTTAAATACACCAAATTTAGAGTTGAGTTTCATTTTAGCATGGATGTAAAAATTTTCGTAGTGTGTGAGACATTGATATATGAAAATACTAAATATTGTATTACCAAGGATTACACATTGCACAAATGATTAAGGTTATATTATTAGTGGTCAAATAATTACATAATTGTCAAAAGATAAAGACAAATCCTAGATACAACCAGGAGTAATAAAAAGGCTACCTAAGTGACTCCCGAAAATATTAATGCCCACATCCCACCATAAATCATTCCTTATATGAGAATGATACATAAAATGAAGAAGAATCACTCTTACAATCATAGGCACCTATAAAGCCTAAGTTTTCTCATTCAATCATGACTAAACACATGTAAGACAACTGATAAACAAAATTAACACTCATAAAAGAAATCAGTATAAAAAAAAATTCAAGAATAGATTGAATATGCTTATTCCGTCCAAGACCAAAATAAGAGACTCCCTATGTCCCCCTTTCTGTTTATCTAGTTAGATCCCCTTGACTCTCCTTGAATTGAATAATTGCCACTTTGACTCTTCCTGAAGCACCACTCTGACTAAAGGCTTCCATATATAAATCCAAGGTTCTTTCATCATTCTCATGTGGCTTTAAAGAGAGAGAGAGAGTTAATTCGATGGCTTTCACCCATGGAAAGCCTTCTAATCAAAACTAAATAAATTATGTTTGATCCTCCTTTCCAAAAATCTTTGGGAATATTTATAATGAATCTTTGACATATTCCAATTCCATCTTATAATTTGTTAGTTTTTATTGCTTGAAAATATATGTTCTAGTTGGGAAATATGAGGCTTTTTTTAAGCTTGAAGTGTTGAAAATTCATTTAGTAGGATTGAGCTTCACATTATATCATGTCAGCATAGCAAAAATCTTGTAGAGATTTGCCAGACGACTAAATGGAACTTTTCTAACAACTTTCATAGATAATTTCACATTTTATCATTCTTATGCTTTGATCCCATTATCGTATAAGCTTATGATAAGTTGTTTTGACAGTATTCAATAATAAAATAATGACCTTATAATAGAAAACATATATTTTCAATGATAAAACTCTTTTTTCTTTCTTCATTATCAATATTCATCTTTATTTAATGGAATCTAGAGGTGAATCTAGGAAGCTTTGCATGAAAAATCCAACAATCTAGTCAATTAGAGCATCAAAATTAGGAGCAAGGTAAAAGTCTTTCTTACATGTGTCATTCATTCATTTGAGTTTTACACACATCTACCATAGATTTGTTATAATAATCGATTTTTTTTAAAGAATTTTTTTAAATGAAAATTTTGAATTTTAATGTCGTGTCTTGTCGAAGAAGAGAGAAAAGGTTATTCAGAGCTTTTTCATCTGCAACTTTTGTTCAGAGATTTCTTCCATTAGTTGTAAGTAACTCAAATATTATTTTAATTTTCAATAATTTTGATTATTATATAGATTTTCGTGTAATGAACAAATTTGATTATAGATGATTTATAAAAGCTCTGATATATTCTTGAAATGATAAATATATAATTCTTTCAAATTTAATTATGGTTCGTTACATTTGCTAGTTATTTTATTTTATTTTTTCACAATGGAAATGTTTAAAACTCATTCACGATATTATCATTGCCAAAAGTACCATGCATTTTGAAGCTTATTTATCTCTTATTAGATAGTTTTTTTTTAATACAATCATTAAACATTCTTTATTTTGTTTAATACCCTTGCTACTCTTATGAATGATCACACCAAATCGAACAAGGAATAATAGATTAATCAAAAAATTCTTTTAATTGAGATCCATCTTATCAACCAAAATATTAAAAAATAATATGTTGCTTGAGATTTTGATGTTGACAAGGATTTTGAGTACTTCATAGTTGTCAATCATAACTCTTATATAAATAGTATCATCATACATATTTTAATAGATTGAGAGACCCTCATATGTAAAAAGAAATCATGGGGGGAGAGTGAATTGGTAAGATATCTTCATAATAAAATCTTACTTTGCTCAAGCTCCTCTAATGGTGGTTCCAACATATGTTACTCTCACCATGCCTTACATATGATTGATCACTTAACTCCACTCAATACCTATTAGTTGGCCTCCTCATTGATTTAGAACACTTAAAAAGTATTCTTAGTTTTGAATTAGTGTCTAGTAGATGAGATTGGGATTTCGTTTGGGACGACTTTTTCACTGCTTCTTAAAGAAGCTTTTTAGTATAAAAATTAAAATTTTTATACTAGAAAACTGCTTTAAGAAGCAGCAAAAAAACCGTTCCAAACGAAGCCGGAGTGATTGAAAGGAGAAAGAATAATATCATTTTCATATGAAGAGGAGGTGGCATAATAAGATGAATCAACTGAACATTAAACAACTTCATAGTATATCACCACTGGAACCTCATCACAGAATTTCCAATGCAAATAACAGCTACAACAAAAATATACTGGCACTAAAGAAGGTAAAAAGCTTGAGGTTCTAACAACTTTCTGCTCCTCTGTAAATTTATGCTGTAGTACATGACCATCACTTTAAGATGAATCTACCAACTCTTTACATACTCTCAGCTAGTAACCAATTATATTCAGAGCTTGCTTACCTATATAAGCCAGCAGCATAACTTTACCCACATCAGTAACTGGAAACTACCATCCTCATTTATCTTAATTTGGAACAGTGCTCTTCCTTCGTCTCCCTGACAATGATGGAATCAAGAAGAAATATAAGATTATATCTATTTGCTATAAGAATGATACAAGATTACTACAATGTACAATGTGCAATAAAATTTCTACAAATAAATAGCTAAATTTATTAGTTTTATGATCCTGAAGAACACGATGGCCGTGTCGTTCGTTGCCATTTCTGTCATAGCTAGCAGCGAGTTTGGATCTTCTTCCATCTTGAGTAACTTTCCTTGTTGCACCGATCCAGCTTGGAAGTGTCGTGCAATGCTAATTAGGGTTTAGGGTCTATTTGGAAGAGCTACAACATCCTATAAAACCGCCGATAGTTTTAAAGATTTGAAGTTTTTAATCCTTCTGCAATTACCACAATGCTCAAGTAGCTAAACTACTTAAAAATCTAAAGGACTTTTCAACAATTAATTAAAGAGAAGAACTATGCCAATTCACCATAATTCATCCACATATATTACTATAAACTTGAGGGAAGATGCCTACCAGTTGAACCCTTAATCCATAAGACCTGTGTATCAATGGTGGATAAATGTTCATCATCAAGGCGCTTCCATGTCTTAATGGACTTCACTCCTCCCCACTCACCGCTCAATGTCTTCTCAAGAGATGCAGAAACCACCCTCGCCCTCCTCGACCAGCCGGCTTTCCCATATGCATGGTATCCAAATCCACCAGCATAGCAAAGCTGAATACCAATAAGCTTGCCGCAGAAGTCATTGAGATGATCATGCCCTGTGAAGACAGCTTTAGCATCTCCTGTCTCTACCAATGTTGCAAAGAAACCAGAGTTGATGGACGCCGAGCTGATCCCCTCCTGCTTTACGCCGGTAAAGTTTGATGCATCGAAGTAGCTGAACTCTGGTAGAGGTATGTGGAAATAAACAAGGCCTGGTGCTGGATCCTTCTGCTGCAAAGCTCCTCTCATGTACTCCTTCTGTGATGATAGAAAGACTATCAAAACTGGAATTTGTAGAGGAAAATAGAGTTTGGTTAAATTCCTCCTATTACCTGAAGGCGAGAAGAAGTCTTCTGGAACCAGACTTGCTGAGAGGGTTTGATCCAACCGTAACCTGGAATGGCAGGGGCAGTAGAATAATCTCCACTATCAAGGAAATACAGATTGAGAACTGACTTGTTAGCAAGTGCAGAACCCTCAGCCCCACGAACCTCTAAGTTATAATTTCCAAAACCATCAATTTCTACTCCAGTTGGATTAAGTTGCGAAAGGGTATGATCCATCCCTACAATGTGTTGCATTACACCTTCACGGGACAAGGTACCCTCTTGATCATGGTTGCCAATTACTGCAGCCCATGGTAATTTGAGAGCAACAGCAGGTTCAAATGCAGCATTCAATGATTTTGATGCATCTTTAGAATCTATGCCAAAGATATTGTCACCTGGATAAAAGGAAAAAGAGTGAAGAAAAAAAGGATCAGGAACCAGGACATGCATATAAGGAATAGAATACATGCAATGTTTAAAGAAGTATACAATGGAAAAAATTTTGGGTCAGGATATCTCACAAAAATTTTTATTAGGATGAATTTCATATTTGTTAGATTTGTTTTGAGATAAGTGCAACACAATTTTTTTTTTAGACTTCTGAGCGAACAAACATAATATGCAAACTTTGAACTCAAGCTTTAGTAAAGATATCTTGATACTATATAGTGCAACACTAATCTCAAAATAAATTCAATAATCTTAAGATTCATCTTGACCAAACTTTAGTAAGGATATCCTGATCCTATTTTTTTATAAATCTTCTCAAGAAGAAACAAATGGACTAGCAAACACTGTAGAAAAATTAAGAAAATTAGTTTAGTTCAACCTATGGGAGAGCTAGAAATGCATTCACTCGCTAAATTTTTGGATGCTAGAAGAATATGACAGTATTTGATAAACAGAATATTATTCATAAATCTTCATTAAAAAACTATGGTTCATTGCCTTCATTTTATGAAAAACTATTACAGGCTATTGTTTGGACCGAAGCTTAAAACTCCGTGTTCTTCACAATCTCCTTTCTTTCTAATTTTATCCAAGAGGCTATCATGAAGTTCAATGGAATGATCACACCTCTGGAATGATCAAATGGCTAGCTGCATCAAATGGTAGGAGTTGGCCGCATCTAGGCAACTTTAGGCTACAAGAAAGCCGAAGTGGGAAGGCCAGCCACTTGAGTAAGTTAGGATACATACGATTGTTATATCCTCAATATGGCTTTATGTCTTTCGATATTTGACCAAGGAATAGTATATATATTCCTCATGGTGGTTGCACTCTTACAGAAAATAAGATCAAAATAATATTTCCAAATTGTGTTATCTGAATTTTTTTTTCTCTAAGTGTATTATTTTGGTTTCCTCTAGGGGTCATTTACATTTATTTTTATTAAAAACTTTATACAATTCATCGGTACACCTTCCCTCCATCTCTCTTTACATTAACGAAAGGAAATAAATAGGCCTAACAAAGCTCTTTCTCTCCTGCTCAAGAACTACAAGTTATGTCCTTGAACTTGATTAAAGGAGTCACTATTCTTTCAAAGCAAATCTTGTAAAACACTTTAAAAAAACCCTTAACAAGATTTACAGGATTTTTCCCAAAAACCTAACTGGTTTTCTTGGACTTCAACAAACTAAGTGCCTCTAACATGATAGACTATTCTGTGCGGAATCCGAACGCCAACCAGAGACCAATAAAAATGCATCACGTTACCCAAAAAGTGTACCGCGCTCGATATCAAGCGGTACCGGATGGTTCTCCTGTCCGGTGTCCGCACAAAATAATCTCTCCTCTAAAACACCCTAATCTAGCTTCTAACATAACACCACATCTCCACCAAAAAATACAAAATTCAGTTCCTTTTTCATATCAAAGATGGGTGATTGGATGACCATAAGTTCCTCCTCCCAAACTTGGATAAGTTGTTAAACCTTCCTCTATTTGGCATATTTTGTAAACAATTGTTTTTCACCATCTCCTAAAGATAAAACTATAACCAAATTCTCAAATAACAATGCACAATGGTATATAACCAATATAAAAATCAGGACTTAGAGTTAATCAGGCCATCACCAGGAAGTAATGACGACAATACCTTAAAAGTGGCCAGGGTGAATGCCCATCCCCTAATGTTGATTAAGGTTTCGTTTGGGACAACTTTCTTGTTGCTTCTTAAAGCAGTTTTTTTAGTATAAAAATTTAAATTTTTTTACTAAAAAAACTGCTTTAAGAAGCAACATAAAAGCCATCCCAAACGAAGCCTAAGAGACCACATGACATTTGAAAATAAGTATTGGTAGCTGTACACCACAAGATGTGCAAGGAACCAAAGAAGAGAAGATGACGAATACAAATTTTGCAAATTTTGACAATAGAATTTTGCATCAAGAAACCACTTTACTTACCAGTGGCAAGAATCTACAAGCATTTCAAAGCTTTCTTCATTCCCAAAACATATGAAACAAAATCTAGCAAAACAAAGATAAACTAAAGCATTATATTTCCTCACCTGCATACACCAAGCTTCTCAACCTTAGCTTGCCCCCAAGAATTTAAGATTTTTTTTTTTAATTTTTTGCCGCACCTCCATGACATCCTAATCTAGAACCACACTACAAAGTATTAAAGTCCTATACGACCCCAATTCAGCATGTTAATTAGTAGCCACGACAACCGCAACCTTCAAATACTACTCACCAGTTCACCCACACAACCAAAAAACCCTCGATTTCCCTCGATTAGCTCAAATATTTGACCTGAAACATCAAAAAAATAATAATGGAATAAGAATATGATACCTGTGAAGACGATGAAATCAGGGTTCTCATGGCGAATAACTCGATAGATAAATGCCGTGGTGTTGAGATCAGAGCAGGACGGGAGCTGGTCAGGAAACACATCCAGGCATCCCGTCTCCTTCCCATCGGCGTAGTGCATGTCCGCCACCTGCAGTATCTTGAACTCCCCCGACTTACTCCCAAACCGTAGACGTCGAGCCCCGGCGAGTACCGCCGCCGGTAAGATAGCTCCGCCGCTAGTACCCACTCCTCGGGGCAGATCAGAGCTCCCTTCTTGCCATTCAGCGATTGCAGCTAAGACGAAGAGGAGCAGAATAGAAAGCCTTATCATTTCTACTGTGGGTTTTGGTGCGGAATTAATGAAGCTGCTATCCACTCTACTGATATAAGAGTTTATTTGGAGACTTGCGCGCCGTCGGCTTCTGGACGTAATTGCTTTGTACGCAACTTTGGGAAATGGGTTTGCAAGTTGAGTTATTTACATGCATGCCAGATCATTTATCCCAACCTTAAATTTTAAATTCAAAAATGATAATGTAACTAAGGCTTCGTTTGGGGTGACTTTTTCTGCTTCTTAAAACAGCTTTTTAGTAAAAAATATACTAAAAAACTGTTTTAAGAAGCAGTGAGAAAGCCGTCCCAAACGAAACATAAGACTTCTATTTGGAAAGACTTTCTTATTGATTTTTAAAGCAACTTTTTAGTATATTTTTCTTTTTCAAGTTGCTTTAAGAGACAGTAAGAAAGTCGTCTCAAATGAAGCCTAAGGATTCATTTGGGACGACTTTCTTATTGCTTCTTAAAACAACTTTCTAGTACAAAAAATTTATTTTTTATACTAAAAAGCTGCTTTAAGAAGTAGTAAGAAAGTCATGACAAACGAAACCTAAATCACATAAATGATTATGCGACTAAGGCTTCGTTTGGGGCAGCTTTTTTATTGCTTTCTAAAATGAAGTTTTAGTACAAAAATAAAAAAAAATTGTACTAAAACTCCGTTTTAGAAAGCAATAAAAAAGCCGTCCCAAACGAAGCCTAAGGCTTCTTTTAGGATAGCTTTTTTTTTTTTTTTGCTTTTTAAAGATATTTTTTAGTAGAAAAAAATTTTAGTACTTGAAAGCTGCTTTAAGAAGCATATATAAAATCATCCCAAATGAAACCTAAGATTTTAATCGGGACTATTTGTTTACTTCCTCTTAAGACAATTTTTTAGTATAACATTTTAATTTTTTATTAAAAAACTATTTTAACAAACAATAAAAAAACATCACAAATAAAGTCTAAATCAACATTATCCCAACATTATTAAGGGAGATAAGAGTTGGGAACTTCGGATGGCTCAAAACTAAGATAAAATAAATAAATATTAAATTTTTGATCAAATGAAGTTAAAAGAATTAATTGAATAATATAGTTGCATTGTTTTCAATTCATAAAGACTGTGTCGGCTTATTTATTGAGTCAAATACATCCTTATCAATTTGCACTAATTTCTCATTACATCAAAATTATTTTGACTTGGAATAGGAAGCCAGCATAGGTATATTCTTCATTCAATGATTAATTAGCTTGAATCAAGTACTCCATATTTATAAAAATTCTTCCTAAGTTTGAGGGCTATTTGATATGATTATTTTTTTTTTTTTGATTCATGTGATAATAAGGTTTATTAAACTGTTGAGGGCTAGCATGATCGTGGCGGTAAAATGAGAGAGTTTTTCATGTTAGCGGTGCACGAATATCCAGTATACAAATAGATAATTGAGAGAGAGAGAGAGCGAGAAAACCCAAAAATTTTCTTACGTGTAAACCCGCAAATCGTAAAAACATGGGTCTTGCCCAGGATAAGAGAATATACTATACTTGGGTGAATTACAAAGTTTGATCCGTCCCTTAAATTTGGAGACGTGAAATTACAATGGGTTGGAGACTTGATTGAACTTCGTATAATTTTAGTGCTATTGTCATTGATTTTATTGTTACAGATGCAGACATGGATATTATTTGATATTACTCATTCACTACATTGATACTGAATATACTGAGCATGTGACATATTGGATAGCATGTGTACATGTGCATAGGATTTTCCTGTATTGATTTGAGTTCGATAGTTCTTAATTTACTAATCTTTTGGTTTACCGTTTTATGTGATTTATTTACTAGTTGATAGTACAGATAAAATGACTGATTTATTGATTTGAAACTCGTACTGGTTTACTGATTCCCCCACTATATTATTTTAATGGCTTCCATATTATAATTTTCCATTATTTCTAGATCTATTGCTATATCATATATGTGAGCTTTATTGTTTCTACATTTATTTATGATTATGTTATTACTATTTTTTTGTCATGAATTGAATTTAGTAGTAGAATTTGGTTACTTGCTAGCCTCTTAAGCTCATTATATGTGATTAAATGATTTTGGGTCAAGGCAAGGGAGCGAGAGTGCTAGATTAACTATGATCCATCAAGTTCAATTTCTTATTAATTTAGCTATTATTTTGTACTCATAACATTATATATATAAAGATTAATGTATAAATCTTGAATAGTGTATAATGATTTTTGCGATATATATTGCTATTTTTATCGATACTTTTATTTTCACAAGTATTTATATTGATAAATGTTGCGTCCTGAAATATTCGCGGTGATAGAGAAATATATAGATTAAAGTTTTAGTTTTGTACAAAGATCCAACATACAATCAGATGTGAGAGAGGGTACAATATTTATAAGAGACACCATGATTTTTTTGTGGAAAATCTTGAAAAGGGAGAAACTATGAGGCACCCAACTTAAATGAATCCAATAGTATTTTTAGTTGATTACAAATGAGGCCCTTCATTGAAGGGAAGGCCTTGACTTGATGTAACAAATATACATCATATAAAATGCATTACATGATAGAAATTAGAATAATCAATATTGATATGTTCGATTGGTCGACATATTCATAGTCGGCGAGCAACGGTGGTCAGAAAGATTGTACTAGGATGTCAGCAATCGGAAGGACCATAGTCGGCTGACGACGGAGGTCAGAAGGATCATTGTTGGCGGGGGAGGTCGGAATGACCATACTAGGATGTTAGTGGTCAGAAGAACCGTAGTCAGCAGGCGACAGAGATCAGAATGATCATTTTCGGGTGGAAGTATGGCTTCTAAAAGTCAGATGAAAGTCTGATGATTGGCAAAAGTTCGGTAACGGGAGAAAGTCATACGTTGGGTAAAAAGTCTGACAAAGGTTCGATGTTTGACAAAAGTCCGACGACGGGCGAAAGTTTGGCGATAGACAGAAGTCCGACGACAGGTCAAAGTCCGGCGTTTGTTGGTGGCCGGGCAAAAATCTGACATTAATTGGTGGCCAGCAGAAATCTGATGTCAATTGGTGGCTGGGTATAAATCTGGCGTTAGTTGGTGGTTGGACAGAAATCTGGCATTAATTGGTGGCCGAGTTGAAGTCCGACAGTGGTTGAGGAGGCGTCCCGTGGCAAAAGAGCTCGTCTTTCTCTTTCTTATCTTCTTTGCTTGACTCCTTAATATGAACCCCCCTTCAATGAGAAATGAGGGGTCTATTTATATTTTTTGAGAGTGACATGACCATTAAATTGGAGGAAGATCAAGGGTAAATTGAGAGTGGTTTGAATGGACGGCCATTGTTGAATCCCTTGATCGTAGACGGTTTATTGGGCATTTGCATGTCATAATGATATCATAATTTAATGATCTTAGGCTCGTTAAATTCATCTTGTCGAGCTGCTTGATTCGATTATAAGCATGTTACATTTGGAAACTGTTTGATAATTCAAATTATGGATTGACCTTCCAAATGCACTTTGGGTCATTGATTTGGACTCATTTAAGCTCGGATTGAGTCGAATTTGGTGTCGTTGGTTCATATTTTAGAGATATTTAGTTCGATTGTAAGTTTGATGATCTCTGATTTAATTTTTAAAGTTTCCAACTTGATTTTGCCTCGAGATGCATGCCTGATCATGATAATTTTTTGATGACATATCAATAGAAAAATTAAGTAGCTCCGATTGTAATTTATGAAATTTATGAAAATATAAGGAATAATTCTTTAACATTAGATTCTAGTGCATCATAATATATGTCATTGATTTAATTTATTAATACAATTAATCATAATAGAATAAAACAAGGTAATTAATCCTCAAAATATATTAATACTTTAAGGAGAGTACTATTTTGTTGTTAATAATAAATTTGTGACACACACCTTAAGAATCTTATCATTCTAAAACAAATAAAATAAAATCAAACATAAGTATATGGGTCTTAAATAAAAAAAAAAGATGCATATCTACTTTTTGTTACACATCTTATCATAATTAATAAAGTCGTTGATGGGTCACATCAAAATTTATATTAAGATTTTCCGTAAGTTCTATATATATCAAATTAACCTTAGATCAAAATCAATATGGTAACACGAATATTTACCATCATTTGTAAAATAAAATAGAAAAAAAAGCAGCACTCGAAAAACAATTTTTTTTTAAATTTCATCATTGCCATCAAAATAAAATTTATAACTCATATTGAGTTAATTTATACAAAAATGTTGATGCATTTATTGTATTTTTTTTTCTTTCATTTATTTATTATTAGTGATTCAACTAAGATTTCATTTGGGATGATTTTCTTAATGCTTCTTAAAATAATTTTCTAATTTAAAAATTAAAATTTTTATACTAAAAATTGTTTTAAGAAACAGTAAAAAAATCATCCCAAACAAAACCTAAGATAATTGTTTTGCCCCTAAAAATTCGTGGGAGAAGGAAAAAAAAAAAGTTTATCATCTTAACATAATATGAAGATCCTACACACAAATGAATAAGATTAGTCGAGATCAGTTCATATAAGACATACGTTTTTTACATAAAAATTAAAAAAAGCGAAAAATAAAAAACCTGACCAAATTGAAATGATTCAACTAATGTGGCATATATGAATTGTAGATAATATATTTCATAGTCGAAGTTGGAGGAGGATATTTTTTTTAAGAGATAAAATTAATATAAGAATGAATTTATTACTGAGACTCTTTCAAAAATAATTTTATTTTATTTTTGGATTAAAGAGATTTTTTTTTTATATAAATATTTGGTCATGAAAATAAAATATATTTTTATTATTACGATAATTTTAATCTAAGATAGATTCTCATGTGGTTACTACCATTGCTACAATCCCTTAACGGGCCTTCAGCCCATTTTTTTCGTTCCAATTTGTAGCTTGAGGTTGAATATTGGGCTTGCGGGCCCTTCAAGGCCGACAAAAGATGTGATTCCAATTTCATATTATGTGTTTTATTAGTTGTTAAATTTAGCCATTAATT